ATAATATGTCACTTAAAAGACGTGACTAAATACAATCCATTGTCCTCTAATAAAATGAAATTAATGGGACTTCAGAAGTTAGATGAACTGGTCAACAGAGGAAGCTGTCTTCACAATTACCATGGGAAGCCGTCATTCGCAAATTTCTTGCTGCTTCAAGCATGACTATGGTTGCAAAACGACATTGCCTCACAAAAAAAATAGGAGAATAAAAAATCCATTACCCCAAATTGATAGTCTTGGTGTCATTTTACTTAGATCTCTTTTGGTCTACCTTATGTAATACAAGCCAACGACACTGTGTGAATGATATTCTTGGAATTGTAGATCTCAGGTGTGCATTCTTTTTGGGTTACCCTGTATACTTCTTACCTCTAGTTTTGTGTCTGCTGGTGGTTGTGACTGTCCTACACACTTGTAGAGCTGTCTGGTGAGGATCTTCTGAATGATGTCTTTGGATTCCTTGAGACTCCCCTTCTGTGAGAAGAGGATATGTTCTAGCACACTGTCTGTCAGGTGTGTGTAGGCATGCATGTCATCCAATGACTCAGACATGGTCAGCTTTGTCCTGTTTAAGGGTATCAGTTAAAAAAATAATACCAAAATCAGAGAGGGAAGTGCAAGTCCACTCATGAAAAGACACAACTCATTCTTTCCTAATCATGTCTAATGCTAATCTTTGGATTCATTGAGACCATCCTCCTGTAAGAAGAGGAGATGTTCAAGCACACTGTCTTTCAGGTGTGTATAGAGATTAGAAATAAAGCGATAGGGTACAAGTCCAATTCTAAGAGGCACAATTCAATATTTTCAACGTTTCTGTAATAAAGAAAAAGTTTGAACGGTAGATACACATCTATTTCAAGTACTTCAGAAACACTTTGAAAATATTCACAGAAAACAATTTTTGGTAAATGCATTTCAAGGACATTATTTCCTCAATTGTTTGTAATAAGGATATGCAGGGGGAAAATGGTAAATTGTATACAAATTGTGCAAACAAATATTTAATAATTTATATATTTATCAAACATAAATTATCTTGCCTTTCATAGCAGTTTGAATCGATTGTGCATCACTGTCCAAAATAAGTCAATTAGAATCTAAAAGATGCGTGTACATTACTTTTCAAAGATGCATAAAATGTCTGAGATTCTGAAAAATTGATCATGATGTAAAGATATGAATAAAATGTATAGATCATAATGTAATAGCTACTGACCCATTGGCTCTTGGAAAGATCCTGAGATGTGGATCAGCTTTGATCAGAGCCTCTACCATCCTGCAGGGAGAAATGAAGAGACAGACAGTAAAAAGATGCTGTTATATAATATTATGTACCTCTTTTTAGATATCTAGCCATCTGATTGGTCGAAATTGCAGTCAAGATTTTAGTCATGCCCTCATACCTGCCTACCATTCAATAGTCTTTTGAATAGTGCCCTCATACCCGCCTATACCGGTAAATAGTCTTTTTTTTAAAAGCCCTCATGCTGCAATCCCCATTGGTTTACGTGTTAAAATTGTCTTTGTGTGAGTGCGGACACCATATAGTGCTTTTTGTCTGCGATTCCCAAATGATTGAAACATTTAGTCATTTTTTCCATGGAAGATTAACAGACATTGTCTTAGCTTTTCAGTGATGTTTAAACCAATTTTCACTCCATAAAAGGATAAGGTAAGAATTCTTCTTTCTTAAAGGGGAAGTCCACCCTGAAATTAAGTTAGTTTTAATAGGAGTAGAAAAATGAGAGAAACAAGTCAGTGAAAGTTTGAGCAAATTCCGATTAAAAATAAGGAAGTTAGGATTTTTGAAGTTGTGATCAATCAAACACAAATTGGCAACTCTATGACGTATCATGCGAGCTCAACTTCCATTTGCTCAGTACTAAAAAAATCTAAAATTTTCATTTTCCCTCAAGAAAAATTTCAACCATACATGCACCCTAAATATAATAATTGCAAATATGTTTCTATACTCCCCCTGCAAGGAACAAATATATATTCCGTCATCAATAACGAAGAAAACATGATTTTATGGAATATTATGCACAAAGCAAATGAAGGAGAGCTCGTATAATAAGTCACAGAGTTGCCAATTTGTATTTGATTGATCACAACTTCAATAATTCATAACTTTCTTATTTTCATTCAGAATTTGCTCAAACTTTCACTCACCTGATTTTCTTATTATTCTGCCTCTATCGGAACAAACTTATTTTGGGGGTGGACTTTCCCTTTAATCGCACTGGTTTCAATTCTGCATATAAAAGACATATCAACTGTTTTAATATTCGAGGTCTGGCTGTTTTATAGGCTCTCGGGAACTAGCACATCTGCCATGACCCCTAGGCGCACCTCAGGTTCATGACAGGATGCGCGCGCATTCCCTTGAGCCTATAAAACAGCCAGGCCTCTCAAAGCAGTTGATATCTCTATACTATTTGGTTTTTTTTTAGATTATTTTACAGTGACGGTGAGACAGCATGGTACTTAGAACACTCAACAAGTCATTTAAATGGGGAAATATGTTCATGTGATTACACTTAAGCATTCTAAAGCATAACTGTAATTTCTTTTGAAGAATACTTACATTGTTTCAATGATTTTGTTTACTTTGTGCTGGTAAGCTCTCCGATGGAGGGTATTTCTTGTGTGGAACATGTCATACAGATTGCCTATCTCCTAGAAATACAAAGCAATAGGAAGAGAGGGGGAGAGAAAAAGAAAAAACAGTACCGGTAACTACTGTTATAACAAAATCAATAGAATGTCTTTAGAGAAACTGTCTGGTAAACACAAATTGATTATTTTTCATGGGGACAAAATTAAGGTTGACTTGCACATGTTTTTCATTTAAATCTAAGACTATCAACTTGATAAAATTGAAGTAATCTTGAAGTTCTTTTCTCCCTGTGGATTAAAAATAATATGTACTTAAAGGTAATACAAAGTTTTGGTATGGGGTCATGAATTTGGTTCAAATGAACATATTGGAAGCATATGCGATCCTACAATATTGAGTGATTGTTGTCGCAGTAGAAATTGACTCTAAAGTTATGAAATTGTAAATAATAATGTTGTACAGCTCCCTCTCAAGGTCAAGATACTAATTAAGCTATAAAACAGTGTTTCTTGACTAAAATCGACCGATTAGCTATTCCCATTTGGAAATTATATATCAAAACTACATATTCTGAGATTTTCATGGTCGCATCTACCATTGTACGGCTGTAATCACTATTTGAAATTTATCAAAATTTACTGTGAGCAACAGTAAATTTTATATTCAATTTTTCTCAAAAGCGGAAGCGTTTTAGAGGCTAAATTTTCTAGTGTTCATAATACTTCCACAGGGGCATCCAAATATATCAAAATTGTAAAGAATCACTATCCCCTCAATATTCAAAATTTTTCAAAACTTTGTATTACCTTTTAAGGTCATAGGCCATGATAAAGTTATACAATTCTAGATTCTCGACTTCTAGCGCAATATGAAAAAGCATGAGAAATGGTCAATATCAATTTGCATCATATTAAGAAATAAATGGAAGAATTATGAAAACATATCTCTCTCAGACATGAACACCTTCATTAATTTTTTACCATACATTACCTTGTCTCGGCTGCATATCTGTTTCTCTCCCTCTACCTGGATCACTCTGGCAAATTTCATGTACCTCTTGTGATCAAAACTGTTAGCTATTCCCAGGTTGTAACAGTCGCGGGCAAAGTAATCCCATTTATCCACATCGATGCCGTTCCTTTTGTTAGCCACAATCTCATAGAGGAAGCTCTTCTCCCGACCTCGTCCTTTGTACAGCCACTCTCTACCATTCTACAAGAGGTAGGAAAATGAGAATTCAATGGATACATTAAAAAAATCCAAACAAGAGCTACACGTGGCTCCTAAATACTCCTCGTATTGTATTCCTATGGTGATAATACTATCACTAAGTTTAAAGTTCATATCTCAAGTGGTTCTTGAGATATTGCAACAAAGAGAAAGCAGAACGGACGGATGGACAACCCCAAAACATAATGGGTGGTAAGCCAGGCTTAACTTAGTCCACACTTTTACGGAGCGCCTGTTGCGAACTTATTTACCCTGTACATATTAATACATTGCTGCAATGAAATGTCTCAAAAAAATTAATTTTGCAATAAATGGGGAAGAAAAAGATAATATGAGTGTGAACTGAATTTCAATAAAGTCTTTGGTAGATTATCTTTGTCATGAATATTGAAGGAGGAAGATGACACCTAGCACTCCAAAGAAGTGTGAACTAACATTCTTGTTTAGTCTGGACTTAGTCCCAGCTTAACTTATGAGAATTACACCCATCGCCTCCGACATAACCATCAGTGGGCCCGTAAAAAGTGTGCATTTATTAAATTATCTAGAAAGTCCCTTCATTGACATCAGCCATTTGAACAAAGCAATAGAACTTATTCTGTTTTTTAAATAGTACATAGTTATTTACAAAAACATTAGTATTGATTGATGTATGTCTTAGAATAAGTGAACTGTCTTTAGTCCACAAGATTTCATTGATGAATTTGTCATAATTTTGAAAATGTCACTGACCTGATTCTGACTAGAGTCTTTAGGTAACCCTTCAATCTGTTCTCTGATGAATAGAAGATCCTGTTCCTTTAAACCGCTCTCTTTCAGCTTGGCCTCTAGATGATTCTCCTTGATCAGATGATCGAACATCAGCACAGACAGGTGCTCATGCTGGGTAACAAGGTATCAATATAGTGAGTTAAGACACATAAGCAAATATAGGTTATCGTGGGGATCGACTTTGACACCATTTAGGTATTTATCTGGTAACAGATTCCGTTAATTACTGAGAGGGATCTTCACTTTAATCGACTCTCCAAGAGACCAGCAGGACGCTTCAGTAATTTCTTGGTGGGACATCTAACTTTACAGAGTGAGAGACTTGTAAACACATAAATGGGATTTCCACCAATTTCTGTGTCAGCGAATCATGACACAATAAACTGCAGACAATATGTCTTTCAGAAGAGCCGCAAACAATAGTATGTAGTAACATAGAGAGACTTTTGAAAAAAAATCAACCTGAGGACCATTTCTACAGCCTCGTGAATCAATTTTGAAAAATTAAACATTGTAATAATGATATAATATTATTCTAAATACGGTTTCTATAGGAAATACAATAAAAACTTTAAACTGCCTAAGTTGATTTCATCAAAGTCTTTTTAATTGTGTTCCACAGACTTTTAATGAAATAATTCTTCTATGTAACTCAATATCTGTATCCCTCTCCCATGTGCATTGTGTACATTTTAATGAAGGAAACCTTCTACAAAATTATATTTGAGGAAAACTTGTTTACACATTACCAATACTGAAATACATACTCCAAATTGTATGTTAGTACACACATAAAGTAATTGTTGGACTGAAAACCATATCATTATTTTAATCAGGAGATGGGATCATTTCCAACTGATGTGTCAAATCATTAAGTTACGGAAATGGTCATACTTAAAATATCTGTGGTTAGAGACCCTTAGAGACTTGACAAAATACAATTTTGACGTGGTTCTCCTATCATTTCCTAGGCCATAACATCATGCAGAGCTGCCAACCTTGTGCGACCAAAAAAAGGAATCATGATGGCAAAAAAAAAGGAATTTCAAGCCAAAAAAAGGAATTCATGAAAACGAAATTTACAACCATGCTCGACACACTTCCAATGCAGAAATGTTCATTCATCATGCTGTTTTTTCCATACAAGCAGGTACTTTTAGTGGTTATTTTAGTATTATCAGCATTTCATTTTTTTTGAGAATATTTTTCTCTTCAAGTTTGTTTTAAAATTAGTTTTCTATTGAATTTGTGATCAAATCACCATTTAAAGGCAGTTGTACGACGTGCGGTATGTAAAAAAAAAAAAAAAAAAAAAAAAAAAAAAAATTAAAAAACGTATTTTATGAAGAAAAAACGTAATACCGTAATTTGGAGGAAAAAAAGGAGTAATTCCGGCAAAACCAGAATGGTTGGCAGCTCTGCATCATGTATACACTTTTAAACTTCTTTTCAACGTTTTCATATGAAATGGAATCAACCATTAGATATTAAAGATATATAACTGCAAAATATGATAACATACTCAATTAAAATCATGGAAGAGATATTGCTTTTTTAACAATCCTCAAAATACTTGCATTTACCTTGTGTTTAAAGTCAGGTCTGACCTTAGGAATGAAGAATAGATCAAACATGTGTGAGAATGGACCATGACCTGATAAAAACAAAGACAAAGAATGGAACCAAAAAAAAGAGGATATTTTACATATTATGCAACAAATTTCGAGGTATAAACAAAGTTTAAACAGGATTCAATAGTGTAATATATCCCTACCTACAAAAATATTTCCTTTCCTGATCAAGGGGCACCCTATTCTCTCACATAATGTAATTTGCTTCTTTGTCTTTCTTTGATCTGTTAAAAACCATTAATCTAGGGACAAGTGAAGTAAACAGACACTTTATTTTTCAGCTTGGATGACCATAGCACTTCATTGAAGGCTTCTTGTTTACAGAGAAATGTGAAATTTATGTTCATGCCAGTGCTTTAAAGACTCGGTTACCTGTCTATTCAGACAATCAAATGGTTAATCTTCATCACATCTGATTTCCCTTTCAGTGATGTGACTAAATGACACAATTGACAAAGATTATGCATTCCCTGGGAAATCCCTTACAAATAAAGAATAACACTGCAGCAATCTAGACCTCTCTATATATGCAGTAAAATCTTATTCTTATTTCAGACAATCAACAGATTGATCATTATTAGATATATTTTCCATTTCAGAGATGGGCATTTCTCCTTAAGGACACCATTTTCTCTGGCAAAAGCCCCTTAAAAAAAAAAAAAAAAAAAAAAATTGCAGCAATCTATATTTAACTTCCCATACATGCAGCAATAGTCGAGACTTTCTTTTTCTTACCTAGATCATGACAAAGACCAGCAATCTGCACACAGAGGATATCTTTGTCCGTGATCTCAAGCTCTGGTTGCTTTCGTTGAAGGGAGAGGACAAGCTCTCTAGCAAGGTAGCACACTCTGTATAATGGAAATCAATGAAAATCCTTGAATAAGTCCATTTGCAATAATTCTAAGCAATTGCTTGAATTATACTGCCATAATAATAGTAAAATCACAATGAACAATATTGTCTATTCTGATATTCCTTAAGCGCACATATATGCACAATGCAATCGGGATCAATTCACTCCAAAATTACCTTTGCTCAAGCAAGGCTAATGATTTTAGTGCTCACAGCATTCAATTATTCCTTTTTATCAGTACCCGTTGAACACCTGGGTGGAGAGTGGCAAATGTAGATCAATGTTTTGCCCCAAAACACCAGTCTTGCATACATTGGCCAAGCAATCTACCTCATCAAATTAGACTCAAGGTGCATTTCGAAGGAAAGAAAAACAGACAAAAGAGTGACTAAAATGCTTTATGAAACATAGGTCTTATAATACTGATTTGAATCATTCATATATTAAGTGAATTAAATATTATCATTCACTTGATTGTTAAGTTTTCTGTGCTTAAGTAAACAGATGTAAAAAATAAATTATCTCACAACTATTACATTTATCCCAGGCCTTTCAGATCTTACTTAAACCACATATCTACCAACATACACAGTGTGCAATGTAGTTGGCAACCTAGCTATTTACAATGACATTGTTTTTCTTTTGTGAGACAGAGAGAGAGAGAGAGAGAGAGAGAGAGAGATCAATGTTCACACTTCCTGTGACTACAGGAAACAAAGACTTGATATACTCCTAAGCTGTAGCAAACTCCTTTGTTCTTCAAACTCAACCAACAATGATGATGGGTATTCATTATATATAACCAAACAAAAAGAAAAAAATTCTGTTGTAGCATCTCTTATTTAAAGCCCCTTTCACAGCGGGCCATACATAGAGTTGCGTATCGAATACGCCGAGCGTTACGCTGCAGTACGTGACTATACGCTAGCGGCTAAGGCACGCAAAGGGGTACACTAGACGCAGAAAGTACACATTTTTTACTCAAGTCTACGCAGCACTGCGCTACAGTACGCCAAGCCTACGCAATAGTATGCTACCCTTCGCCAGTCCGACGAAGCAGTAAAAGCTTGTGCACACAGTAAGCAACCATAAGCAAACCTGTACGCCAGGTCTACGTAAACGTACGCAACCCTACGCCTGTTATACGCAATCGTATGCAAAGGTAGGCAAATTGCATACGCCGTAAGTACGCAGTGCCTATGCACAGGGTACGTAACCATACGCCATTGTACGTCAGCCTACGCAGGGACTACGCCTAAGCAACATTTATGACTACGCAGCCTAATTTCGGCGTAGTCGGTACGCCACACTACGCAACTCAATGCAGATCTGGTGTGAAAGAGGCTTTAGCATAATAACTTACATTTTCAGAAATAACTAGGTACATATATAAACAAAATGCTAGACACATGTTTCATGATGTCCATAGGCCACTTTATACTTACCCTAGCGAGTGTTCAAATCGATTGTGTGCAGCTCCTGGAAAGACAAAATAGCTGCAGCCAAGTTGCTTTATGAAGCGTAATCTTTGAAACTGCGGCGTGTCTATGATCTTGATTAGCAGTGGATCAAAGTCAATATGGCCGTGAACCGAGTCATTGAAAACCTGGGTGAAAGACAATGCACAGACAAAAAAATAGGCTTTAGTATAAAATATTCAGTAGTATTTGAAATTGTGGTGTATTGATGATTTTGATCAATATGATTCCTGATTTTGGTTCCAAATTGAAATCTGTAGGTGCTTACCTTGGTTTTCAGGCTTTGATGGGAGGTTCTTGTAAGTGCGTTGATGATTTCTACAACAGAAAACCTCTTCCCCATTGTTCTACAAAAAATGTGAATAAGTGAAAACATAGAATAAAAAAAATCACACAATATTCTCATATTCATTCACTATGTACATGTACAAGACAAAGAAAACTCTGAGAAAACATACCAGTACTTTTATTACTGCTGCACAGCCTGCATCTGAACTTTGGAAAATCTCCCTCCGTTCCATGGACAATATTTATTATAAACTAGTGCAACTGCCATAGGAAGAATAGGCATACCAACATTTAAGACTGGAATTAATATTCTTTCACTCATATGACTGAATAAATGTTTTTATCACTGTCATGTCTGCTTTTGTTTGTTTTGCATTGTAATGTGAAGTAAAATACATTCGTACAGAAAGTGCGTCATATATTATTTTACCATTATCATCATTGTCCTTTGAACTTTCGTACATTATAGTAGTTTCAGAATTTCATTTGATCTCAAATCGAAAACTATAATTCCACAGAGAAAAAAAAAATCTTCCTTAGAAAACATTACAGAACATAAATAGGAAGAACCTTAGTCATTTCATATTTCAAGAATGAAATATATTGCATACAGGGTGCTACAAGCACTTGCAATAATTGTTTGTTCTTACTGAACTCCAATCTTTTCCAGTCTCTCCTCAGTCATCTGTGGCAAGTGATCTCCACTGATGTTTTCACCTGATGTTCAAAAGAAAACAATCATGAGAATACTGCGTTCTAGTAAAAAGTCTTTATTTTATGTCCCACAAACTGTGACAAAATCTTATGGGGAAAGGTCATTTTCATATGCAGCTAATATTTTATAGGATGACTTGCTGGAATACCTTCAATAGAGGCATAGAGAGATATAGAAACATATGAAAAGTTTAGTAGTAATTTGAAAACAAATCTATTTAGCACCTTGTAAGATCTCATAATCATGAATACAGTGCACTATTTCCACTCCTTCTATATTCTGTAATCTGTTCCATAAAGCGCATAGAGACATTCTCTTATGCCTATGTGTTATGCGCTATACAAACACTATTATTATCATACGATGAGGGACATAATGCAGCTGACTGAAAATGAAAGTTAAAACATGAAGTGTAATCATTTTTGTGCACAGAAGCAAATAATTCTAACATGTCATAGTGACATTACAATGTTACAAATTTGAGATTTACATGATCACTTTATTTACCAAATTTATTTCACACTTTCACAAATCAATTTCTCTGACTTATCTGCATTATACAAAGCAATTTGTCATCGATATCAGGATTGGATTTCCCTTTACCAGTAATTGCAAAATCAAACTTATCATAATTGCGCAATGCTTGGGATTAGATGAAGACGTGGCAAAGAGCACATCAACGTAAAGAATGGAAATTCAGTTTGGAGGGTTCCGAAATGACTGGCCCACTCAACCTATGAGCAACACTGTACATATTAGTTTGCCCACAAGCCAAAATGATAAGACTCCAGTCTGTTCTTAGATAGATATTCTCTAAATCTATTTCACTCTTCCTGTGTCTTTACTCACGTGTCAGGTCGATATCACCCTCCTCTGAGAGACCTTTCACTTTGAAGTACCTTCCCACGTCCTCAGGGGTCCAACTCCTCCACTGGTGAAGCACGATGCCACCATCATCATCACTGTTATTTTGTCCCCTACTCAAATCCATGGCATCTGACATGGCTACTCACAACTTTCTGGAGAGAAAAAAAACAAACAGTAATTACACATCTATATTTGTGGCTTTGTGGCTTAGTAACCAGAGTAAAATCCAAAAACTGGATAAGAAAATCTCAAACTGTCACAGTTTTGTACAGCAATTGTAAAACAACAAGGTCAACATGGTCAACCGGGCACCTTTAAATGTTTGAAACAGAATTAATGACGCCATACAAGTGCTGTGGATCATCATCATCAATTCCAGCGCAATGGACAAGACATCCAAATTAAATTTGGTTATTTACTACAATTTTAAGCAAACTCAAAGGCCCTAAAGCATGTTTCAGTAAGCCTGTAAGTGCATCAATATCAGACACATTTCAAAGAGGGATATACACATAACATACTTCCATAGTATTTCACTTGATTGTTGAAGAGAAAATAGACTCTTTGTAACCATAATGGACATGACACCAACAAAAAATTGTAGTCAAATAAAAAAAACTTTTCAGCTTCTTCGACTATGTTTAATACTATGTCTACATGTACATGTATATAACAGTTATGGTACATATACATGTAGATTTAATTGTTAGCACAAAAATATTGCAGTAAATCATATTTTCAATAGTATGAAATGATAGTGTATGTAGATCTAGATCTACAAGTTGGCAAATGAGTACTGTTTCAAATTTCTACATGTTTAATGTGATGTACATGTTGTTAGCTGTGCAATTATCTACCCATATGTAAATAATCTAGCTGAATCATGTTATAAACTTTATATCCCTTATCGTAAGTTTGTTGTATTAGGAGTGTACACAACAATAAACAGAATAATAATATTATAAAAGACGTTTCCTGCCGAATAGTTCACCTTTTCCCGGAAATAGTGAATTATTCGTTTTCCCAGCCCCCCCCAAAAAAAACTGGCAAAATTCAGCGAGCGTACAGGATTTCAAATGTCTCCAGCAGGCAACTGTGTCACGGTGCCAATGTCATGCAATTTACGCTGAGCAGTAACTGTACTACACTAATGCAGTAACTGTATAATATAGGGCCAGCTAAAAATATTTACATCCTTCAATGTTTCATTTGAGCCGTGCAATATTCTTTTATTTCTTTTTTGAATGTGATGTGAATGTGAGTACGGTACATGTTATTATCAGATTACAGAAGTGTCCAATGAATGAAGGGATATAAAACAAATACACAATGACTCATTCTTGGAACTATAGTAGCTAAAAAAATTCACTCAGGAACATCAATAGTTGTTGTTGTTGTTGTAGGTAATAGTTTAATGGCATTCATTCAGTATTGAATATACAGTGTATACGCCATATCTTCAATTTTATAAGAAAAACAGTTATACATAAGAAAACATCAATGGCATTCATTCAGTATTGAATATATACGCCATATCTTCAATTTTATAAGAAAATCAGTTATACATAAGAAAACATGATGTTCCTTCGATGTGAAAAGCTTTAGCAAAATCCTTGAGTGCCATAATTGTAATAACTAAATTGTAGGATATATTTGGGCTTATATTTGTATAAATTAATATTTTTAATATTAGTCTAGCAGCCAAGTAAGGTTATTCTGTCTAAATAAAATTGGGGGGCTTCACTTCAGTCTCCACCCCATTGACCTCATTCATAGACGTGCGCGTACATGTACATCTCGCATCGTTTGAGTTCTCGTGTTGTCTGCTTCACTTGCGCGCGCTATCCTCGACGTGCCGCGCGGAGGAGCTAGCCGAGGCGAGGTCAACCATCCCCATTATCGTATTTGAATATTCATTAGCCGCCATTTTGATTTCTGTCGGTCAGAAGGCTTGACGTGGGTCATCGAGAAGCAGTCTAAAGCTTGGTAAGTCCTTTTATTTCTTTTATATTTCTATTTCGTGGGGAAGGGGGGTAAAAAGGGAACTTTTAGAGACTGACAATTGCCTAGAAAATTACTGCAATTGAAGATAAATGATGTATTTCTCCTCAAGTTTGTCATGTTTGTGGGAGGGCCTAACGGCTAAAATCTAGCCGTGATATCTTCAACATACGATGGCATATAGGCGATTGTTCAGTCTCTATATCCGGAGGTCTAGTGGAGCCAGACGTAGTCTCAGTGGAACAACCGACGATATAGAGACTGAAGCTTTCGGTCTAAGAGAGCCAATGCTAATCATGTGTATTGACCTCTAGCACTGCATACATGCTGTGAGGCAGGTATTATTAGACCCATACACAAATACACACACCACACAATATTGCATAGACTGCATACAATCATACCGATGCGGCTGTAAGCAAAGTTTGACAGTAGACCTAGAGTTCTAGGTCTAGACTTGCAATTTGATTTTTTTAATTATTTTTTAACATAAAGGAGCCCGTAATCGGCCAGCTCCCGTTTTCGGCCGATTGGTTGGATGCAAGGTAAAATCACTCTAAAATACATCGCATAATAGCATAACACATATCCCACTCATACCATACCATGCCAGTGTCACTGAAGAACCACATTTGCAATGAAAAATATATCCTAAAATATCACATTTTAGCGATGTAATCGGCGGTCCCGCTATCCGAATCTGAAAAATCGAGTATCTTACGCGTGTATGTAAGAAATATGGGTACCATAAAATCAGCTTTATTTCAAGTATTTTTCAGATTTAGAGCCCGATTTTGTGTTAGTCGCAAGCTCAAAAGTATCTCATCGCATGTCTTAAATCAATGCAGCCGGACCCTGCCACGCACACACGATATGTCTGTCTAATTCAGATTCAAACTTCCGATCACCGCTGTGCCTGTCTTCGGCCAGGCGAGCACCAGGGAGCTCCGGCGTGGGATACCTGCTCCGCCCACTTGTGCTGTACATCAGCGCGGAAACGCACGGCCCGCGCGAGCGCTTCCTATTGACTTTGTACATGCGGCCGTAAACTGAAACGCTCGGCCGATAACTGGCTCCAAAACAGTGAAAATGAAATGAATATTGTCATGGCAATTCGTGATTTTTTTCTGGGATTCTTTTTTTGTTAAAATAATAATAATATTTGCTTCATGATTTGAACAAAAAATGATAATAAATAGGAAGTAAAGGGTCCTAAAAAAAGGATTTTGTCTTAAGTGGCCGAAAACGGGCTCCTTTAGTACTCTAGACCTAGATCTAGACCTAAGTTGAAAAAAATGTATTTTACTGCTATTTAGGTGTCATCAATTGTCACTAAAGTACCGATTTAGAGTGAAATCAGTTGAGTTTTGTACAGTGGTGTTTGAAATGTTGAGAATCAAAAGCACAGCTTTTACTACACAGCCAGGATAATGATGCTCCTAGTCCTAGACTAGATCTAGATCTAGTCAAGATCTAGCCTATGTTAGACCGAAAGCTTCAGTCTCTATAATCGTCGGTTGTTCCACTGAGACTACGTCTGGCTCCACTAGACCTCCGGATATAGAGACTGAACAATACGTGCCTTCACGGTTGTTTCATCGCAAAGCATGCCGGGACATAATTCTAGTCCATTTTCACCTTCGCCGTGATCAGCTGTCCTGTTGCAAACAACGGGATTCTTATCGAATCAACATCATAATCTTGTACATAGTCCGCTATTCTGCAGTGATTTTCTTCCAATCCAGTATCATTTGTACGGTAAGAAAACCAAAGTTTGTGGTTATTCATTTTTATGACTAATAAAGCTGATAATACGACGTAATGAGAGTGGGCCGAGATCCAACTTTAGTAAATCTAGGCCTAGATCTAGTCCCGTATGTTCAAATGTGTGTGCATTTTAAGTAGACTGATTGTCTTTTAAGCTGCTTAAGTACACTCGTCTCGTGTTTTAGGTAGAAATGTACAGTAATATGAGATTTATGTCTCATGAGATATTAATAGACTTTCTAGATCCTATAATTGATAATGGAATAGGGTCTACTAGAATGGCTGACATTTAGATAGTGATTGCAATTAAGTGTAAAAAAGTACAAGAGGCCATGAAAATGATAGATTTGTCGATCTGGATCTGGATATAAATTCTGATATCGATGAGCTCAACTTGAGCATCTACGTGTTGAAGAAGTGATAAGGATTCTTTTGTTACAATCATTCTTGTGGTCAAGAACTTAATATGATTGTCTTTTCCCTTATATTTATCAGTTGCAGCATCATCGAACACGGCCGATGAAACAAGATAACACCGTGCATGTAGATGTTACGAGAGAGCTCATTTCACAATGGACAACAGAAGTGTTACGTGACTTTCTACAAGGAGGGGACTCAAGCTTGGAAATCGAGTACCGGTAGTCATTATTTGTTCTCTGCCTTGACGCGGTAGCTGTTCAGCCATCCGAGGTAGACACTGTGAGGAACTGGACAATGGATGGATTGGGGGGGGGGGGGGGGTGGGGGTAGGCATGCAGAACTGGCCTACTATGTTGTATGTACCTACTGGATAAGGACCCTCCATCACTAGAGGGAAAAATAATGAGAGACTACAAAGAGGGGAAGGCATATAGTTATTTTGCCTTGTGAAAAAATTAGATTTAGCCCCTAAAAAAGTGTTCCTTCGGGTATCAAATGACGACAGGTGAAACCTCACAGTTGTAGAATTATTATCTGTAATGTGATTTCCAAACCATGTGACAGCAAATGGTGTATGGTGTATGTTGTAAAGGTATTGTAAAATGCATTGTTTAACAATGTATAACAATGTTTAAACCGAGATGGACGTATGGCCCTACGTGCTACCAGTGTCTGTGATATGGTGTATTAATACTGAAGCCCTAACAAAATTGTGCTTCAAAATGATCAAGAAGTGCCTCTAAAAAGTAAAAATCTTTGTTTGACCCCTTTTACCATACTCGTTTTCCCCAATAAACTGTAGTGTTATGAAAACCGTTTGGCAAACACAAAATTTGGTTTCGATTTCCAATCGTAAATATCTTGATAATCAGACAGGCGATCGGATTGTAAAAGTCATTGAGTTCCTGACTGACCTAAATTTATCATTGCAGCATGAGCTAAATCCAGGATTTTGTTTCAGAATCTGAGAGTAAGTTACCCGATCCCTTTAAATCTGTTTGCATTAAAGGTGGTACCCCCCCCCCCCCCTTCTCAGCAAAAGTCCAGTGTGTAAAGTCAATACGGGCAGATCTTTTTCTTTGTTACGAGCCAGAGATTTTGGGAACACGCATGCGGTACCTCCGTTCCCGTTCCTGGAGGGGGGGGGCGGGGGTGGTACTACTTCTTCATAAGATGTCAACTTATATGCATTGCATTAAACCTGTTGATATTGATCTAACTTGTATTCATCTCATGGTTATATTTATTTTATCAATAAAATAAAACAACACAGAGAAGGTTGTAGACGAGTACTAAGCAATCATTACTGTATGTAGGACGCCGAGTTGAAGTTATTCATGATTTATTCAAGAGAGGAAGGTCAGACAGACCTGATGTTTTTATATTTTAACGAGAGAAAAATCATAGAAACAGAGAGAGGCATCGAGAGAGATGTCGACGCTTAATGAAAAAGAAAGAGTGATAATAAGGAGAGAGGAGAGAGAAAGAGACAGAGAGGGGGGAGAGATAGAGAGGGAGAGCAAGAATTAGGTGTGAAGAGGAAGATCTAAGAGAACAAGAGATTAAATTTTACAAATGTACACGTTTCCATGTACCTTTACTTAATTTATATTATAATGTAAACGATATTGTGATGGTCTTTGCTTAATTTTAGTTTGCATTCTTTCCTTTAGCTTTATCTTCTAATTTACTATTCTAATTTAGTAAATGTTAGTATAAATATAATTTTGATTTCTATCTCTTCCCCTATGTCATAGCCTCCATTCTTGCTCTCCTTCCTCATGTTAGTCCATCTCTCTTTCTCTCTCTCTGTAATGATAACCCCTCTATCAATCTTTTCTCCATCAACTCATGATATGTTCCTCCTCTTCTCCTTCTCGTTCATCATCACAATCATCATCATCATCTCAAAACTGTATTAATCAATCTATAAGACTCTTTAGATTGATCAATACAGTTCTTATAACATATGACCTTTATGTACAAACAATAAACCAAATGGTCACAATCATTTAATAAAAAGTGGTAAGAACAATTATTCCAACTCTATGGGCAACAACGTAATCTCCATTTTCTCCTCCTCGTTCAAATATTAGCTTCTTTTTCATTCTTTACTCGTGTTACTTCTCTATCTCTCTGACTATACTCACAAGAAAGTAGAATCAACGGTTTGACATGAAACAGTCTAGAAAATGAACTAAATTTATTCAAGTATCAAATGATTTTGAATTACAGACAGCTTTCTCCCACGAGATGAAAAAAATATCTCCCTAACCAGAAACTGGCAAAATAACTAAATGCCTTTCCCTCTTTGTAGTCTCTCATTCTTCCCTCTAGTGATGGAGGGTCCTTATCTACTAGGTACACACAAATGTCTCTATACATAGTAGACGACCAGCTCTGCAGTCTGCATGCCTTTCTCCCCCCCCCCCCCCCCCCCGCCCCCTCTCCATCCATCGTCCAGTTTATCTCTACCTCGGATGGCTGACGGTACTCGATTTCCAAGCTTGAGTCCCCTCCTTGTAGAAAGTCACGTAACACTTCTGTTGTCCATTGTGAAATGAGCTCTCTCGTAGCATCTACGTTATCTTCTGATTCATGGGTCATAGTGTTCGATGATGCTGCAACTGATAAATAAAAGGGAAAAGAAAATCAAATTTAAGTTTGTGACCAAAGAACCCTCATCACTTCTTCAACACTAGATCATGTAGCAGACGTGTATGCAGGGGGGAGGGAGTTTCGGGGGTTGAACCCCCCCCCCCCCTCCTCCAATTTTGTTTAGACTATGTGTGTGTGTGTTTTTGAGGAACCCCCCCCTCACTTTTTTAATAACAAAAATAAATTAAACATTTTTTGTGCTAAAGGGTGACCCAAAAAGGTGACCTTACCCCCCACCAACTGAACAAAATATCGGTCTCCCAAATTTCATATTTTCGGGGAAAAAAAGAAGGAAAAAAAAAGGTGCTCTTACCACCCCCGGCTTATTCACCGGCTGGCCGAGTCGTTGTGAAATTGACTGCGTGATTTTCAAATTTTACCCCCCGGCCCCCCCCCCCCCCCCTCGAAAAAATCCTCCGTACGCCCCCGTCATGTAGATCCTCAAGTAGAGCTCATTGATATCAGACTACTATATTCAGATCCAGATCGAAAAAATCTATCGTTTTCATGGCCTCTTTTACTTTCTTACAATAGATCTAGACCTAGTCTAATTTCTAATTGCAATCACTTTCTAGGCCTAACTGTCGGCCATTCTAGTAGACCCTATTCCATTATCAATTATAGGATCTAGAAAGTCTATTAATATCTCATGAGACATAAATCTCATATTACTGTACATTTCTACCTAAAACACGAGACGAGTGTACTTAAGCAGCTTAAAAGACAATCAGTCTACTTAAAATGCACACACATTTGAACATACGGGACTAGATCTAGGCCTACATTTACTAAAGTTGGATCTCGGCCCACTCTCATTACGTCGTATTATCAGCTTTATTAGTCATAAAAATGAATAACCACAAACTTTGGTTTTCTTACCGTACAAATGATACTGGATTGGAAGAAAATCACTGCAGAATAGCGGACTATGTACAAGATTATGATGTTGATTCGATAAGAATCCCGTTGTTTGCAACAGGACAGCTGATCACGGCGAAGGTGAAAATGGACTAGAATTATGTCCCGGCATGCTTTGCGATGAAACAACCGTGAAGGCACGTATTACAGACTAGGGGATTGAGAGATAGGTCAAGTTTCGTAAGACGCGCCAGGGGTTCAAACGTGCTACGGTTCAAGCCAGATATACGATTTCTCGAAGCATCGAGATACACAAGACTTGATAAGTACTTGAACAAATTAGAATCAAGGTACGTCAAATCATTTCCGGACAAAAATAGATATTGCAAATCATATAATGTATTGAACAACTCAGTGGAAATAACTTTAGATGGTTGTCTTCCAAACTCAATAAGACAAGGCTTTTTAGATCTATGAATATACCTATTTCTAATACGTCAGGCAAACAATCATCCAAACGTAAAATGTGTAGATTCGATAAATTCTGGAAGATGCCAAATGGGATGGAAGACAATGGATTACTTGAAAGTTCAAGTCGCGATAGGTTTTGCAAACCAAAGAAAGAAGATTTGTTGTCGGATGAATCCCATAGCATTTCAGGCCCAAGCGCATTGTTGATTAGATTTAGTGTTGTTAAAGAGGGCGCTTCATTGCCAAGGTTACCGGGTCGAATCAAACTTCTAGGGCAATTTGAAGACTCTAAGATTAAGGTAGCGAGGAAAGGAAGGTGATAAACAGGTAGCTCAAAAATATTTGTGTTGGACAGATCTAACTCACTCAAAAATTGAAAATCGGCAAACGTGTTATTTTCAATAACATGAAGTTTTAAATTGCCACTCAAGTCTAATGTCTTGAGAGTTTTCAGACCATAGAATGCCGAGCCGTCGATTGCTGTTAGTTCATTGCGTGCCAAGTGTAGATGTATGAGTGAGATATTCCACGGGGTAGATTTACGATTGAGAGTTAGGATTCTGTTGTTATCCAATGAAAGAGAACGAAGAGCCATCATTCCGTTAAAGACACTTGGTTCTATCTCTTCCAGATTGTTCCATCCTAGCTGAAGCTGAGAAATGCCTGCTAAACCATCAAAACCATTGTCTTCAATCATATCGATGCTATTCATTTCAATGTCAACCTTGTCTAGATTCTTTCCTTTGAGAGGTGCAAAGAATCCATTCTGAATGGTGTGGAGTTTGGCGTCTGTAAAATCAAATCCTTTAATGAACATTGATAATCTGATGCCATGGAAGAAATTCGTTAGTTGAGAAATTGCTATGCGCGTATTCCTCAATTTAATTTGCTTGACATGAAACGAAGAAATAACGCCGGCTTCAATGAATTCTATTGGATTTTTAGACAAATCTAGCGTATCAACATGTTTGTTAAAAATAAAAGACTTTTTTGAAATTTGCCGAAATCTGTTTGAATCAAGATAAACATCGCGTAGAAGATTTGAACTGGTCCAGTTTATCTTTCGCAGCTTATTTCCGGAAAGACTTAAGATTGTCCCTTGGGCTAAGCATGCAGCAATGTCACCTGCAAATGTCTTCAAATTAGAATATGCTGCATTTAAATTCGCCAAGCTCTGAGAACGAAACATTGACTTCTTAAGAGTAGGTAAATAGAGGTTATATCCAATCGACAGGCGAACCAGGTTCTTTAAGGGGTCGAATGCACCTTCATCAATGCGAGATATGTTATTACCACCCAGTGTGAGCACCCGAAGGCTGGGATATCTCGCAAATGTCTCATTTTTAAGCGTGGTTAGAAGGTTGTCGTGAAGGTAGAGTTCTATGAGATCGGGTAAGAGATCTGTAGGAACAGACCTGAAGCCCTTATCAGAACAGATGGCAGCCTTCCGACTGAAGTCTTGATGACATGATGCTGCCTCGATGGTCTCCCTTCGGTGAATAGATGTAAGAGTAATTATGACGATTAAGATGGAGTAAAGGCCTGACATCCTCGTCATGTTGACGTTTCATGTAAGACCTATCCAGTATTTTCCGAGATTGTCCTCCGCCTAATAAAAGAAATGGTATGAAATATGCTTACTTACCGTGAACAAACTAGACAAAGAAATGTGTATATAAACGCCACTGTGTTAGCTAAATCAATGAGTTATCTAGGTCCAATGAGTTATCTAGGTCCTAAACAGTGGAATATGATTCCCCAAGTAATAACGAAATCACAATTCATATCTTCCTTTAGAAAACAATATAAAATCTTACTACTAAATAATTTTTGATCAGCACAGTTGTTGATTTTTTCCCCTTTTTTCTAATTTTATATCTGAACCCTCTTTCATTGTTATCTTGTTTTCCTTTCCTTTCTTTCCCCCCATTATATATTGTTTTTCTTCTCCCTATTTTACTTTCTCTTGTCTTATAGGTAGTTGAAGTGTTTGTACTTTGCTTATTTTAATTAATTTATTGTTGTGTGCTTATAATATGTTATATTTCTTTTTGTATTGTTTTTCATTCTTTAATGGGCGATCCAACTTCACAGGTTTTCACAACCTTCATGGAAAGCCCCGCATATAACCTTTGTAAACATAGTTAAAATTTACTGTTACTTTGTATATTTTGATTTTTATATTGCGAAATAAAATTGAATTGAATTGAATTGTGTTATAAATAAAAGTACTGTGGTATAACGGTTCATATTTCTTAATTCCTAATAGAAGGTCCTATGGGGCTTGCTCATTATGCTAACAGATATGTGTTTTTAAATATTGTTATTATATCTATTGGCTTTTCATAGTAGACTTTCTGGACCCAGGTGAAGTATCCTATTAAAGGAAAGTCTTCAAATTGAACTGGCTGCTTGTAAAAGGCACGGGCAACCTTAATCTGAATACCGTTTGTTTTTGTTTTGACTTGATTTGATGTATTTTGTCTGCTTAATTCTGCTTAATTTATTGCCTTTCCCTACTTCACTTAAATTATTAGTATAGTATTAGTAAAGTATTATGAATGATTAAACAAAGAAATGTTATAACCCTATACTATGTATGTTAACAAATCGTATAGAAGGATTACCAAACAAGCGGTGCTAGAAGGCGTGACAATCCTTTAAAAGAGTATTCCAAACTATTTACCGGCTATGTGCAAAATAGGGATGGAAAAAGGGACAGTGCCATATAGAAACTATAGCTCATGAGTTTGAATGTTAACATTTTTTCTCTCAAATGACCCTAAGCTACCCATGTGATGTAAATCATTAATCTGCAATTCTACGCATCAAAATTACTAAACATTAACACATGGTTTTGTAAAACGGCGAATGAGCCCAAAACGTTTATTCCATGGCCACATGATGGCCAAGTTGATTTGAATGAAGTAGAATCGATCTTCATTACAATGAATCAATTCACAATGTCCCCCCCCCCCCCCCACACACAAAAAAAAAGTCATGAGGAGGCGCGATAGCTCAGTTGGTAGAGCAGTGGTCTCGTAATCCGGTGACCCGGGTTCGAAACCAAGTCGATGCGCTAGTGCCCTTTGGTAAGGCATTAATCCTCATTACTAGGTCCCTCGGAGAGGACCTAAAGCCGTCGGCCGTCCGGTTGCTTACTTACAAGCATTTATGCTTTCTTAGCAGTCAGGTAAAATAACCACCAACAGCTAATAACCTAATGGGGATCCATGTAAAGCGCCTTGAGCATGTTCATGTAAAGGCGCTAAATAAATACCAATATGTATGTATGTATGTATGTTCCTCAGCCCCGAACCAATACACAACACTATATTTTTAGGCAAAGTTGTATCTTAGTAAATGATTTTCTTCCTTTTTTGTAACTTGTGTCAAGTATTGTTAATTTGAATGTGGATCTAGGGATGGAACGGAAACCGCGGCCCTCTAAAGGGATGGTGGAAGACACGTCTACTTCTTGTATCCCCCCTTTCTCTCGAGTCCCTTCCAAATAATGAGCGCTTCCCGGCGGAGTCTAGGAGGGATTCACAAAGTCAGATTTGTAGGGGAAATCATATAACAGGAAAGACAATATATCCGCAATGTATTACAATAATTGTTATGCACGTTGCACACGATATGAAACTATACCGATTTCCGACTCTTTTTAAACCCATTTCTGACTTTCGATTTCAGTTTGCCCCAAGACATGCAGCTAGTGGTTAAATATTTTATGTTGGTGATTTAAATTTTAACTTAGGAAATCAGTGATGCAACCATCGCACACACTCTAAACAAAAATTTGGATAGAAATGGCCCAACTTTAATTTGCCCAATAACATTACCCAATCATTTCAATGGTTACTATATGGTTGGTAGGAAATAACCCAATTATTGGACGATATTTGCCCAACATCGATTTGTCCAGTTACACCTACCCAACCTATTTTTACCTTTCATGAGGTAACTTCATATAGTAAATGGTTGGGAGAAAATAACTCAATTTTTGCACAAAATTTGCTCAACTTTGATTTGCCCAGTAACACCTGCCCAACTTGTTTTACAGTGCAGGAGGGAAGAAGCCCAAAAGTTTAAAAACATGTTACTGTACAAACATCATTTTATTAAACATTATTATATGGTCGGAGGTAAGGAAACCAAGATGACGATATGGCTAAAAACAACATTGACTCCCTTAGGAAGAGTTACCATAGTAAACTCCTTATTTATACCCAAATTGAACTACCTATTTTTTTTATCTCTTCCTGAACCAAAATCAGAAATTATGAAGGATATCAATCGACGTTTTTTCGAATTTATATGGCATGGCAAGCGTGATAAAGTAAGTAGGAAACAAATGGGCCAATGAAGGTGGAGTTAAAGTGACTGACATTTGTATGCATTCTAAATCACTTAAGATATCATGGATAAGAAAATGTATTTGTTCTGAAAGTTTCGCTCTTCATATGTTCCAATCATTCTTATCTCCATCATATACATCTCTTCAGTTATTCATGGGGGCTGAATATTACAAAGAATTAGCCTGTACAATGCGCAACCCATTTTGGGAAGAGGTATTATCAGCCTTTTCAGACCCTACT